CGCTGATGTCCAACAGACCTACATCTCCAGCCCACCCTCTGGCCTGTACGCAGACTCCTTCTCACCCACCACTGCCAGCCCGACTTCATGTACATCCACACTTCACATGCCCATGCTGACTTTACCAGCCAGCTCTACCTGCCCCAGCGTAGTTCAAGGCCAACCCTGAGTGAGTGGCAGGGCGGCCCAGTGGCTGAAGGTGCTAGACACAAGCTTCTAGTTCCCAAGGCAACTCCAAACTTCCGGTAGCTCAGACCTGCACCCTGGAGCTGCCCGTGACCCCGCCTTCGTCTCTCTCCCCAACATTAGAGCTGCCAGCTAATCCTGTGGATTCTGTCTTCAAATGCACACAGAATTTGACGCTTCTCACCAGCTACTCAATGGCCTGGACACCTGCAAGAGCTTATAACCTGCCTCTCAGCTCGCACCCACGCCCACCTCCACATGGCAGGCTGTGACCCTTTTCAAGCCCAGTCAGCCCTGCATTCCTCTCTGCTCACTCAAGGCTCCTGCCCTTCCAAGGGCTGGGGTCCTTCCCATCCTGCTTCCTCTCTGACCTCCCCACACACACTCACGCCACACCTGCCTGCTTGCCGCACTGCCCCCACCCTGCCCAGGGCGCTCTTCTCTGCACACCCACTCCCTACCCTCAAAGGTCACCTTTGCAGGGATCCTGTCCCTGCCCCACCCCGCCTTGCTTTGCTTTGCTCCACAGCACTTTTGATTCTGCTGTATGATGTGTTGTCTACAGGTGTCTCACACAGTATCTTCTCTCCCCACTAGCATATCAGCACCTGGGGCAGGGGTGTTTTCTCTGGTACTCACCGAAGTATTCCAAGTGATTAGAACAGGGCTTGCTATAGCACCCACACTTGTCAAATGAATGAAGGAAGAAAGGAAGAAAAAGTGATTCAGCCACGAATTATTTTTCCTTACTACAACATAATGACAATATTTTTGTTCATCAATTCATAACAGCCAAGCACGGTGCTTCCCACCTGTAATCCCAACACTTTGGGAGTCTGCAGTAGGAGGATTGCTTGAGCCCAGGAATTCGAGACCAGCCTGGGCAACAGAGTGAGATTCTGCCTCTACAAAATATTAAATGATCAGCCAGATACGGTGGCACACACATGCCTGTATTCCCAGCTACCGGGGAGGCTGAGACAGGCGATCACTTGAGCCCAGGAGGCTGAGGCGGCAGTGAGCCAAGATCACGCGCCACTGCACCGTAGCCTGGGCAACAGCGCGAGACTCTCTCAAAAAAAAGAAAATAAATCATCACAGAATGTGTAACTAAAGTTAAATTAGCCATTCTTCGAAGTTATGAAAGTAGATAGCATTCTGGGAAAAGTATAAGTAACGGGTTTACTTAGACTACATTCATTCATTCTACCACCATTCACCGAGTGATGCCTGTGCTAGTCCTGCAGTGCTGGAGGCCTCGTACCTGCCCCCGAGCTGACGGTGTAGTGCACACAGCAAGCACTGTCGAAGACTTCAGGCCGAGAAATGCACAATAGCCCATCTAAGGACAGGGCAACAAGGTACTACATGAGTGCAAAGCGGGCCGCTGGAGCTGTCCTCATCAGGCATCAAGGACTGCCGCACAGAGGAACGACGGTTGACCCATGAGTGGTCAGTGCTGTTCACCAGTGGAGTCCAGAGCCAAGGGGACCACAGTCAGAGGGAAGGACACAGCCTCAGGCTCTGAGAAGAGCAGCAATGGCGAGGTCCAGGGGGACGAGAGGACGGAGGGCTGGTGCAGACAGCTGAAGGCAGCATGGCTCAGGGGAGGCTGGCGAGGCACAGGGGTCACTGCACACCAGCCTGAGGGCCGCACTGAGCGTTTGGGCCTTATCCCTAAAAACAGCAAGAAGTCACAGAAGGGTTTTACACAAGAACAAGGCTGATCTGCTCTGCAGTTTCTAAAGATGCTCTCAGTGCATAAGCTCATGTCAAACATGGATGTTCACCACCCCAGGGCTGGCTTGACCAGTTCCAAATGGGATTCCTGCTCCTTTTCCGTTAGATACAGACTTGTGTGGAATTGCTAGGGCACCTCTGATGTTGAGCTACAACTGCACAGAGCTGTTTAGGATCATCAGTCTGGCATGAGAAGCAGGGGTAAGGGTTTACAGCCCCAAGGATTCCTGCTCTGGACCTCCCCAAGGCTCCCCGGCTCGCTGAGTATCTCCCTGGGCATCAGCTGCCACAGGAATGTCTAACAGCACGCTGGCTTTGTGGAGTCACCCAGCCACAGCTGGCATGGTCGACTGGCACAGCACACTCTCCCTCCCCTCATGGCCTCTAGTGAGACACAGCTTGATGAAGGCTGAAGCGGAGCCCTCCACGCACAAAACTCAGCCTTCCAAACAAACAGAAGCCACTCCGGGCTCTGAACCCCTGACCAACCCACCAGCGTGGAAACTGCAAGCTGGCCACATCTCTGTCATTACAGGGAACGTGGACACTTTGTGTCTTTCAGCCGCTCCCTTTTTCCTTGGGAATGGTGAAATGCTACATGTTCCTTATTTCAGATTTCTCTCATACAGAAGAATGGACATTAATCGCAAAAGCATTCATAAATAAGAAGACTCTGATTTCCCCTGACGGAGCAGCTCCAAAAAGTGAGTCAGCCTACTCCAAACAAGGTAAGAAGCACCCAGGGCTGGCTCCACAGATCCCGGAGTGACGATGACTACCGAAGGCCACTGCTGCCCCCTGCTGGGACAAGTAACCCTGGTTTCATCAACCTGCCTCTCACCCAGCATGGAATTTCCACTACATGTTAACTTTCTATTTTTATAAAGCACGGATTTAAATTAAAGTTACTTATCTCCAAAAAGCCAACTATTCCATTTTAGAAGGAAAGCCCAAACATCACAGGTAGTAAACCACCATCAAAATTACGTATCAATCTATGATCCCAATTAGCTTTTAAAAAATAACCAGGGAGGGAGCATCACATACTGGGGGGCAGTTGGGGGGGATAGGAGAGAGACAGAGTGGGGTGGGGAAGAAGGGGAGGGTAGGGAGAGATAACATGGGGAGAAATGCCAGATATAGTATGCACCTAAAGTTAAATAAATAAATTTTTTAAATAAAAATTAAAATAAAATAAACATTAAAAAATAAAAAAACAAAAAACCAGGGAGTGTGCCTGTCTACCTCATTTCACTTCTATAAGAAAAGGGTGGATACTTGGGGGAGGGACAGGGGGTGCGACGGTGGGGAGAGATAGCACGGGGAGACATGCCAGATATAGGTGAAGGGGAGGAAGGCAGCAAATCACATGCCATGTGTGTACCTATGCCACAATCTTGCATATTCTTCACATGTACCCCAAAACCTAAAATGCAATAAAAAATAAATAAATAATAAAAAAATAAACATTGAATTGTATTTTAAAAATAAATAAATAAAGAGCCGGGCGCGGTGGCTCACGCCTGTAATCCCAGCACTTTGGGAGGCCGAGGCGGGTGGATCATGAGGTCAGGAGATCAAGACCATCCTGGTCAACACGGTGAAACCCCGTCTCTACTAAAAATACAAAAAATTAGCTGGGCATAGTGGCGCGTGCCTGTAATCCCAGCTACTCAGGAGGCTGAGGCAGGAGAATTGCCTGAACCCAGGAGGCGGAGGTTGCGGTGAGCCGAGATCGCGCCATTGCACTCCAGCCTGGGTAACAAGAGCGAAACTCCGTCTCAAAAAAAAAAAAAAAAAAAAAAAAAAAAAAAATGGTGGATACCAAAGTTTGGTCTTAATTTTAGGCCTAATGAGAATTATAAATGTACAGGATACTGTCACTTTCAAGAATATTTTACAAGGCCGGGCACAGTGGCTCACACCTGTAATCCTCGCACTTTGGGAGGCCAAAGCCAGCAAATCGCTTGAGGTCAGGAGTTCAAGATCAGCCTAGCCAACATGATGAAACCCCGTTTCTACTAAAAATATAAAAATTAGCTGGGCATGGTAGCACATACCTGTACTCCCAGCTACTCAGGAGGCTGAGGCAGGAGAACTGCTTGAACCCAGGAGGTAGAGGCTGCAGCGAGCCAAGATCATGCTACTGTACTCTAGCCTCGGCAACAGAGCAAGAGACCCTGTCTCAAAAAAAAAAAATTTTTTTTTACAAAAGCGTTTCTAAATTATCTTTTAAAATTAAAGAATATGGCATGGCAGTGAAGGTCTTAGTGGTAGAAATAAATTTCTCAAGCACTGAAATACCTTATACAAAAATTCGGGTATTAATAAAAAAACAAAATAACAAAAAAGTATATTGACTTTTAAATATATTGCCTTTTAAAAAATTAAAACCATATCAGCTGTATTGCAGCATTTTAGCAAATATCCAATTCTGCCTATTTTATTATAGCTAAAATGATAGACTTTGAAAAGAGAAAAGTGATTTCTTTCCATGGTCTGTGCAGCAGCAATTACTGTAAAAGCTTCCCACCATGACCATCCTTCCAAAGGCTAAGGAGGGCCATTTCCAGTACAATACCGCAGTATTTTCACTTTTGAAAGTTCATAACCAAAGTTCAATACGCCGTTCTTTGGCAAATCAGTAAACTGAGGTAAACTGAAACTACTCAATGCTCGTCCACCCAGAAAATTATCTTCCTGCCAAATGGGAGGAATGATCAATTCAGAGGGAACATCCCATTAACTTTCCCGAGCGGTTTCAGCCAAGCGGAAGTGAGCGGCTGTGAAAACCAAACTGCATTAGACGCTGGGACCTCATAAAGTAGTTTCCAAATTGGAATTTTTAAGGCACTGAGAATTTCATCTGAAGCCAAAGCTTTCAAATGTGACTGAATTTTGTATATTAAACTTCTAAGACTCTGAGATTTTATTAACTCAATGAACTGAAATCCAGTGTTCCCTAAGACCTCCGGGAGGCCACCGCCGCACACGGGTTGAGTGATGGTAGTGCGGCTGGAAGGGCCTTCCACATCCCCTAACCGCAAACAGAGAGCAGGGAAGTGCGTACTCACCATCTGAGGCACACCGAAAATAACGACGTTCGAGTACTGCGAAAAAGTAACCTAAACAAGGGGGGAAAGCAATGGGTAAATTAAGCGTAAAAAAAAAAAAGTTAAGCTTAACTTGTTTCACAGAAATGGGCAGCAGTTTTCCATTGTATGAAACGGTGGGTTTTGACAAACTCCTAAAAAGGGTGGTCCTCCTTAAGATTTCACAAGGAAAATAACATGTTCATGCTTTCATTCATTTTAATTCAATCCACTGGTTTCCAAATGCTTCCCTTTAAGTCATCTCATCTCATCCTCATGGCGACTCCATGCAGGGCACGTCCCAGTGGTCGTGTGTCAGATGGCTAGGTGACCCCACTGTGACCCTACTGTGACCAGCTGCTGGCCAAGCCAGCGGCACCAGAGCCACATGCACCAGTCCACTCTACACCAAACCACCTTCACCAGAGCGCAAGAGACTTCACAGCCATCTGGTTTTTTTTGTTGAAACATCCTGAAAATTTGAGTCCCCCTTGTCTCTAAAAAACTATGTAAAAAAAAGTGCAATAAAATGCTCTTTAGTTGAAAAACTGGGGGGAAATGTGCTTTGCCAGTTAAAATTCTTATTGCCCAATAAAAGTCTTATTTACTCTATAGAGAGATCGTTTATGCACATATGGCATAAGAAAACAACGCAAGCAAAACTCAAGTGAATCTTTGTAAGCTACTGATTTCTACTGACAATATTACAATGGAAAATTCTTATTTAAGAAAAAGCATTTCATGGAACAATCCTGAAGCAAAATTACAGGGCATTTTTAGAGTACAGATCAATTTGGATCTTATACTTTATGAGGATAAGAAATAACCATGACAACAGAATTCTTTAACACCCATCTCCGTATCTCTCTAATATACAAACATACAAACACACACACACACACACACACACACACACACACACACACGCAAACAGAACGTCTAACATTTATCGATAATAATTTAGAGGATTTCCAAATAACATGAAAAATCTCATTATTTTGTAAGAAACAGAAATGAGAACATTTTAATTTTGTAAATAAATTCTTGGAATTCACAAGGCCTATCATATAATAACTTTAAGCGTCTCTCTAAAGTAAACTATTGGTAAAATTTATCAATTTTACACATTTCTTTATGCCAGGATATTCACTTGGATTTTAATTCTTTTTCTTTTAACATTTTTCAGTTTTCAGTCATACTAATTTTGAAAAACACAATTTTCCACTGGATTTCTCTAGGGCTGTTCTCTACCTTACATACCTTCCACAAATCCGAAATATAAAATTTGGCACAACCATGCACACCTTCTCGCCAAGCACGGTATCTGGAGTACCAAACTAGCCATGGATTTAATTCATAACCAACTGCTGTGAACCCTTCCTTTGCAGCCGCTATGACCTGTGGAGAGAGGCAAGATTTATTCAAAATAAGAAGAAAAAATGAACACACAAGGTCAAACAATGTATTTCCTATCAACAGTTTAAACATCCCATCAAAAACTGCCTCCTGTGACTAAGACATCATTGAAAAATATATCTCTAAAGTGATAAAGCTTTGTGAACAAGGTAATAGTCAACCCATGTAACTCAGTTTTCTTGATTAGCTAAAGATTTCACCTCAAGTATCAAAATAGACATTCAGCTTCACTTTGAACACCTCCACAATTGATCTAGGTGAGCTAACCCCGGGGGAGGTCGAACAAAACATTGTTGAAAATCCACTGTATCTCTCCATCAGTGGGCTAGCACAGCAGGAGGGACATGAATGTATTTGGGAGGACAGTTTTGTGAACGAGTAACTATATGCAATAAAAATAACCTTCAATGAAAAATCTGCAAAGAGTACATATTTCCTTTGTAGCTAATGACTGTTCACTCAAAACTGGAAACAAGTAAAGGTAAAATGAAATGAATCCGTCTCCAGAGAGTGGGAGGGATGTGCAGCCGTCCTGGGTTCGCTCTGTCCATTCTGTCCTGCCTCATTCTTTAAGGGAGCACCCCTTGACTCAGCTATCCCCCCTAAGGTAGTTCCCAAGTAACTACAGTGCTGCAAGAAAACATTTTCCCAAAACCACAAAGACATTGTTCAAACACGTAAAGCATTCTAATACGGATTGTAAAAGTTTCTCCTTGGTTTCTTGATATGGTTTGGCTCTGTGTCCCCACCCAAATCTCATCTTGAATTCCCACATGTTGTGGGAGGGACCTGGTGGGAGGTAACTGAATAATGGGGGCAGGTCCTTCCCATGCTATTCTCATGATAGTCAATAAGTCTCATGAGATATGATGGTTTTATAAGGGGGAGGTTTCCCTGCACACACTCTCTCCTTGTCTGCCGCCATCCATGTAAGATGTGACTTGTTCCTCCTTGCCTTTCACCTTCCACCATGATTGTGAGGTCATCCCAGCTATGTGGAACTGTAACTCCAATCAACCTCTTTCTTTTGTAAACTGCTCAGTCTGTCTCAACATAAATATATTAGCTTGAAAACAGACTAATATATTTCCTCTTTTTTTTTTTTTTTTTTTTTGAGACAAGAGTCTCACTCTGTCACCCAGGCTGGAGTGCAGTGGTGCAATCTCAGCTCACTGCAACCTCTACCTCCTAGGTTCAAGCAATTCTCCTGCCTCAGCACCCTAAGTAGCTGGGATTACATACCCACCACAATGCCCAGCTAATTTTTGTATTTTTAGTACAGGCAGGTATTTGTATTTTTAGTACAGCTTGACCAACATGTATTTTTCACCATGTTGGTTAAGCTGGTCTCGAACTCCTGACTGCATGATCCACCCACCTCGGCCTCCCAAAGTGCTGGGATTACAGGCTTGAGCCACCGTGCCCGGCCACTGATACATTTCTTAAAAACAAATAGTGGTTCCCAGAGGGTGAGGGATGGAGGGAAATAGAAAGTTATTATTTAATTGGGACAGAATTTCAGTTTTGCAAGATGAAAAGTATTCTAGAGATGGGTGGTGGTGATGGTGGCCCAGCAGCGTAGACCTGCACATGGTTACAATGGTAAACACTATGGTATGTGTATCTTAACACGATTTTAAAAGAAAAAAATCAAAATTAAAAAATCTTACTTTTTAACCTCATCCCGATTATTCCAGCTCAGAATCACAAAATCACAGTGTCTGTGTGTAGGAGCTGGTGAGAGGTGACAGAGCCCCGCGGGCCTTCACACTCAATGCTTCCATAGGACCAGCCTTTTCCACTGCTGCTGAGACTTTCTGGCTCATCACTGGGATGAGGCTAAGGATGGTGCCACCCTGCCCACAGAGGAACCTGTTCTGAGACACCCACTTGCCCATCAGTGGCCTTTCTTCTTTATTTATAGGTGCCCAACTGGGGTCAAGTGAGAGAAGGTCGCTAAAACAGTCTGATCTTTGGCTTAGCAAAGGTTACTCACTGGCTCTTCCTTATTTTAACTCTACATTACCCCACGGGAATTATTACTTATACATGGATGAATATAAACAAATGTGGAAGCAAACAGCCATGGGGAAAAATGTAAAAGAGTGAAACGCCACGATTTAACATGTTTCTTCTCATTATGCCACCTCTGTTGGCCCAAGTATTTTAACAGACAATTTGATAATTTTCAGCTAACTGTTCTTTTTCACCTGGCATGTCTACAGTGTATGTCCTCCTTTAAGAAGAAATTAAATCCGGGAAAAATGAATTCCAAACACACCGGTAGTTTAATAGTTTGGTCAAACAAACACAAAATGAAATGAGCACTCTTTCAAGCTGTCAGATTTAATAAGTCTTTGTGTAAGCCTTACTAAATGTAAAGGAGAAATTTTAAGTTCTGATTCAAAATCTTAAAATGTTTTAGCAGAACTCACGATGCGTCCATCGCCGCTTCCAATGTCTACAAGGGATCCTCTTCTGCATCGCAACATTTTCACAACATTTTCAATCTGCTTTGTAGTTGCAGGTACAAACGGCAAACAGACTTTTCGAAGGGCTGGCGTTATAAACGGCGTGGCTACAGCATACACAGCCACCAGGGTCCCGCCCACAAGCCCAGTAAGTAAGAACCCCCAGTTGCTTTTCTGCAAACGGTTGGCTTCAAAACTTGCAGGTAAAATATGTCTTGACTGGCTTTCTTCTTTAAGTGTTTCTAGGGGTATACCTAGATTGAAAGCAAGCAGAAAAGACACACATAGCACCAAATCTGAAATCCAAGATAGTATTTTTTTCTACAATTCTCATTGACAAATAAACTCATGCTTTTTAAAGGATAATTTAGCTGAATACAAGCTAAATGCCAAGTGTAGGATCCCACAATAATTTCTAAATCCTATTAAGGTATTTTGGAGAACATTATTCAATACTATAGGAAAACTAAAATCTTTTCTTTCCAACATATTGATTTTTTATGTGTCTAGGAGTCATCCTTAGAAAACAATGCATTCAAACTTACCGGGTAATTTATTAATTTAATATCCATTCGTACAAACTTTAATCATGCACTATATATTTTTATGTTCTGAACTAACAAAGCCTCAAAAACAAACAAGCATAAGGATGTCTCATTATTACCCGATTTCATGTAGAATTAAAGGATTCCACATCGAATTTGGTCTGGCATCTATAATCTACTTGCAATAATACAATTTTAAAGTAATAGAAGGCATAAAAGTCAGATCTTACCAAATATCTTAAATAAGTATGGTAATAAAGAGACTTTTAAAGCAGATCCAAAAAGAACAAAAAATAAGACAACTATTTCAGTACTATCATAAGTATAAAATAATGCAGACCCCAATCACTGATTACAAAGAAATGAATGGTACCTTAAACATCCTCTTGAGATTTGTCCTTTAAAATGCATTTAAATGGGATCTCAAGGTTTTGAAATTAATACTGACTTGAAATTGATTTTGAAATTGATTAATGAGGAGCACAGTACAGGAGGTAAAAGCAGGACTCCTCGAGGGCCAGCCGAAGTTAGTATCCCAGCTCTGCCACCTCACTAATGATGTGACCATGAATCCCTCATCCTTGCTGAAACTCAGTTTCCTCATCTGTAAAGTTGGGGGGGGTCACAGGGTTATTGTGAGGATGAAATGAATGGATGGAGGTAAAGTACTTAGAACAGGGTCGAATGCAGTTATAAATTTCCTATAACTGCTGTAAAAAAAAATGCCACAAAATTACTGGCTTACAATAACACCATTTATTATCATACGGTTGTGGAGGTCAGTATGAAATGAGCTGGCAGGGCTGCCTTCCTTCTGGGGGCCCTCGGGCAGGTTTCCTTGTCTCTTTCCATTTCCAGAGGCTGCCCACAGTCCTAGGCTCTTGATCCCACATCACTGTCTCTGCTTCCATCCTGACATCACCTTCTCTCACATGCCTGCCTCCCTCTTAATGTATAGGGACCCACATTGGGCCCACATAAATAATCCAAGATAACTTCCCATCTCAAGATCATTGATTCCATATGTACAGGTACAGGAATTAGAAAGTGGACAATCCTGGAGAGGACGTTATTCTTCCCACCACACCCATTAACTGTGGCAATCTATTCTGGTGCAGTACAAATTTAAACCCAAGAAACTCCGAAAGCTGGCACACAGCAGTGGGTCACCCTCAGGGCAGCTGGCCAATCACCAGCATACCCCACTCAGCACGGCTTTGTTCTTAATTCCTGAAGCCCCTTAAATGAGTTGTAAAACTGATTTCATAGTGGAAAACCAACCGGGACGGGGTGCGGTGGGAGGAAGAATGCTACTAGTGCTTGTGCTAGTGATGATGGTAAACAAAATTAAGAAGGTGATGACATTTGATTGAAAGCAAAAGCTTTCATAATCTCAGTTATAATTTTAACATTTTACAGAGGAACTTACAGGCATAACTTGGAGATACTCAGTTCCAGACCACTGCAATAAAGTGAGTACTGCAGTAAAGCAAGTCACACAAATATTTTTGGTTTCCCACTGTTAATAAAAGTTATGTTTACACTGCTGGAGTCTATGAAGTGTGCAATGGCACTGTTTAAAAAACAATGTACATATCTTGATTTTAAAATGCTTTCTTGCTTGACATTTTGGTCTGATTTATCTTCAAAAATTTTTTTTTAATTTTTATAAAACAGTTTATTGCTAAGAAATGCTAATAATCATGTGAGCCTTCGGTGAGTCATAATCTTTTCACTGGTGTAGGATCTGGCCTTGATGTTAATGGCTGCTCACTGATCAGGGTGGTGGTTGCTGAAGGTGGGGTTGTTGTGGCAATTTTTAAAAATAGGTCAACGATAAAGTTTGCCACATTGATAGAGTCTTCCCTTCATTAAAGACTGCTCTGCAGTATGTGATGCTGTTTGACAGCATTTTACCCACAGTAGAACTTCTTTCATATTTGGAGTCAGTCTTCTCAAACTCTGCCACTACTTTATCAACTGAGTTTATAAAATATTCTAAATTCTTGGCCAGGCACAGTGGCTCATACCTGTAATCTCAGCACTTTGGGAGGTGAAGTGGGCAATCGTGAGGTCAGGAGTTTGAGACCAGCCTAACCAACATAGTGAAACCCTGTCTCTACTAAAAATACAAAAAATTAGCTGGGTGCAGTGGTGCACACCTGTAATCTCGGCTACTCAGGAGGCTGAGGCAGGAGAATTGCTTGAACCCGAGAGGCAGAGGTTGCAGTGAGCCAAGATCACACCACTGCACTCCAGCCTGGGCAACAAAGTAAGACTTCATCTGAAAAAAAAAAAAAAAAAAAAAAATCCTAAGTTCTTTGTCATCATTTCAACAATGTCTACAGCATCCTCACCAGTGTAGATTCCATCTCAGGAAACAACTTCCCTTGCTCATCCATAAAAAAGCAATTTCTCATCCATTGACATTTTACCATGGGTTGCAGCAATTCAGTCTCATCTCCAGGCTCCACTTCTCATTCTTTTGCTATTTTAACCACATCTGCAGTTACTTCCTCCACTTAAGTCTCAAAGTCATCCATGAGGGTTGAAATCAACTTCTTCCAAACCCCTATTAACATTGATACTTTGACCTCCTCTCAAAAGTCATTAATGTTATTGACGGCATCTAGAATGGTGAATCCTTTCCTTAAGGTTTTGAATTGATTTTGCCCAGATCCATCAGTGTAATCACTACCTATGGCACCTCTAGCCTCATGAAATGTACTTCTTAGATAACAAGATTAAAGTCAAAGTTACCCCTTGATCCTTGGGCTACAAAATGAATGCCATGTTGACAGGCATGAAAACAACATTAATGTCCTTGTACACCTCCACCAGAGCTCTTGAGTAGTAACTAGGTGCATTATCAATTAGCAGTCATATTTTGAAAGGAATCCTTTTTCTGATCAGTAGGTCTCAATAGTAGGCTTAAAATATTGAATAAATCATGCTGTAAAGAGAGGTGCTGTCATCCAGGCTTTGTTGTTCCATTTACAGAGCAAGGCAGAGTAGATTTAGTATCATTCTTAAGGGCTCTATAGTTTTCAGAATGGCCAATGAGCATTCGCTTCAACTTAAAGTCACCAGCTACACTGGCCCCTAACAAGAGAGCTTATTCTTTGAAACTTTGAAACTAGGAATTGTTTTCTCTCTAGCTTCCAATAGAAGGCTGTTTCATCTATATTGGAAATCTGTTTAGTGTAGTAACCTTCATCAACAATCTTAGATCACCTGGATAAGTTGCTACAGCTTCTCCATCAGCATCTGCTGCTTCATTTTGCACTTTTATGTTCTGGAGATGGCTTCTTTCCTTAAACTTAATGAACCTACCTCCACTAGCTTCAAATTTTTCTTCTGTACCTTCCTCACTTCTCTCAGTCTTTAAAGAACTGAAGAGAGTTAGGGCCTTGCTCTGGATTAGGCTTTGGCTTAAGGAAATGATGTGGCCGGTTTTATTTTCTATCCAGACCACTCAAACTTTCTCCACATCAGCAATAAGGCTTTTTCACCTTCTTATCAGTTGTGTGTTCACTGGAGTAGCACTTTTAATCTCCATCAAGAACATTTTCTTTGCATTCACAACTTAGTTAACTGGTGCAAAAAGCTTAATTTTCAGCCTATCTCAGTTTTCCACATGCCTTCCTCAGTAAGCTTAATAATTTCTAGGTTTCTTATTTAAAGTGGGAGAAGTGTGACTCATTCACTTGAACACTTAGAGGCCATTGTAGGGTTATTAATCAGCCTAATTTCAATACTGTTGTATCTCAGGAACTAGGAAGGCCCAAGGAGATGGACAGCAATGGAGGAATGGCCAGTGCAGCAGTAAGAACACACACCACATTTACCATTTAAGTTCACTCTTATTTGGACATGGTTTGTGAAGCCCAAAAACACTTACGATAGAAACACCAAAAATCCCTGATCATAGATCACCATAACAGATATAAAAATAGTGGAAAAGTCTGAAATATTGCAAGTATGCCGGGCATGGTGGCTAACACCTGTAATCCCAGCACTTTGGGAGGCCAAGGTGGGTGGATCACCTGAGTTTGAGAGTTCGAGACCTGCCTGACCAACATGGACACACACCATCTCTACTACAAATACAAAAATTAGCCAGGCATGGTGGTATATGCCTGTAATCCCAGCTACTCGGGAGGCTGAGGCAAGAGAATCGCTTGAACTCAGGAGGCAGAGGTTGTGGTGAGCTGAGATCACGCCATTGTACTGCAGCCTGAGCAACAAAAGCGAAACTCCATCTCAAAAAAAAAAAAGAAAGAAATATTTCGAGAATTACCAAAACATGATACATAGACAAAAAGTGAACACAATGCTGTTGAAAACAACAACAACAACAAAAAAGTGCACTTTCGGCAGTGCAATAAAACAAGGTATGCCTCTGCTTGCTGTGGTGGTATTCATGCATTTAGTTATTTAAGAAAAGTTGACCAGGCACAGTGGCTCATGCCTGTAATCTCAGCACTTTGGAAGGCCGAGGCAGGAGGATTGCTTGAGGCCAGGAGTTCAAGACCTGCCTGGGCAACATAGAAAACCCCATCTCTACAAAAAATAAATTAGCCATGTGTGGTGGCATGCACTTGCAGTTACAGCTCTTTGGGAGGCTGAAGCAAAAGGATCTCTTGGCCCCAGGAGGCTGAGGCTGCAGCGAGCCATGACCATACCAGTACATTCCAGCCTGGACAACTGAGCAATACCCTGGTATCAAAAAAAAGTCAAGTCAAAGCTCATTTGTCATGCCCTCTCTAAAAAACTGTCCTGTGGACGTTCCAGTTGTACAGTACAGCAGTTAAGAGGATTTGCATCACACAGTTCTGGAGTCTCAGAACTTAATGAGTTGTTTAATACAAGGTAAGTTGTTACTAAGGCATGGTTTTCCCCTCAGTAGGATTTAGAAATAATTTGTTTAAACACAATTCAAAATTGGCCAGGCACGGTGGCTGAAGCATGTTAATGCTAGTACTTTGGGAGGCTGAGGCAGGTGGATCACCTGAACTCAGGAGTTCAAGACCAACCTGGGAAACATAGCAAAACCTCATCTCTACCAGAAATACAAAAAGTTAGCCAGGCCTGGTGATGCACACCTGTAGTCCCTGCTACTTGGGAGGCTGAGGTGGGAGGACTGCCTGAGCCTGGGAGGTGGAGGTTGCAGTGAGCCAAGATCACACCACTGCACTCCAACCTGGGTGACAGAGTGAGACCTTCTCTAAAAAAAAAAAAAAAAAAAAAAAAAGATTTTGCAATAATACTAAGATTATTGGAACATAAGATTCTTGGAACAGGTAAATAACATATACAAAGCATTTAGCACAAGCCTGAGAGACTAAGTAATGACTTCATTGCTATTATTATTCTCAATACTATCATTTGCAGGGAGGAGCTCAATTTTTAACAGCTTTGAGATATAATTGATACACATATAATTTGCCCACATAAAGTATACAATTTAATTTTTTTTATATTCAGAGATATGCAACCATCGCTACAGTCAATTTTTGAAAATTTTCATTACTTCAATAGGAAACCCCTTATCCTTTAGCTATCACTGCCCCCATCCACCCTCTGGGCCCCAGCCCTAAGCAACCACTAATCTATATCTTGTCTCAAGAATCCCCTATTCTGGGGCCAGGCACAGTGGCTCATTCCTGTAATCCCAGCACTTTGGGAAGCCAAGGTGGGCAAATCACTTGAGGTCAGGAGTTTGAGACCAGCCTGGCCAATATTCTGAAACTGTCTCCACTAAAAATACCAAAAAAAAATTAGCCAGGCATGGTGGTGCACACCTGTAGTCCCAACTACTTGGGAGGCTGAGGCAAGAGAATCGCTTGAACCGGGGAGGCAGAGGTTGCAGTGAGCCAAGGAGCCAAGACCACACGACTGCACTCTAGCCTGGGTGTCAGAGCAAGACTCTGTCGCAAAAAAAAAAGAATCCCCTATTCTGGACTTAGAGGAATGGAATTGTATAGTGTGTGGTCTTCTGTAACTGACTTTTTTCACTTAGCATGTCTTCAAGATTCATCCATGTTGCAACTTCTATCAGTTCTTTATTTCTTTTTATGGCTTAATATTCCATTGTATGGATATGCCATATTCAGTTTATAAATTTGTTCACCAACTTTTTTAAACAAACACAAGTCAGATGACCCAAATTTAATTTCACCTGTGTGGATATATACCTTTCAATTCAACCAGAAACAGATATAAGAAAGAGTTCCTGGTCTTCAGAGCCCCCCATCTAGGCCGATAAGGGGTGGAGTACAGGAGAGGCAGGCACAAGGCAGGTTGTGAAAAATGCTATGACACAAACAAAGCACCACAGGCTTACGGGAGAGTTGGAGGAAAGACTGATTCCAACAATGGGACCAGACCAGTAAGGTGTTGGCAGAGAGAATATTTGAGTTGGAGCCAAAAGCAGCAAGCCTTGGAACCAAGGTGTGGAATACAGAGAAAGCCTTTCTTGAGCACAAAGTAGGAGATAAACAGGAAGGCAGGCCTCTCAATGCCAGGCTGAATGTGTATTTTATTCTAGGTGCCCTGTGATGAAACTTTTTGAGCAAAGTCACTATAATACTTGTGTTTTTAAGAAAAGCAACATCATGAGCAATCAGTCCCTTAATTAAATCGTTCTATTTTCTGTCTCAAGTTTTTACACCTGCAAGTCTTTCGACATCATGTCACAAACATTTGCATGGGGACATCAAGACCCATAACCATTGTCAGAGCTTTGGAAGAAGTTACAATGTACATCCAATATATTACTACATTGCTAGTTCCATTCAGCAGAAACAGTTGACTCTTTTTTGAGAGGGGGTCTCACTCTTTCATCCAGGCTGAAGTGCAGTAGCACAATCACAGCTCACCACAGCCTTGACCTCTGAGGCTCAAGCAATCCTCCCCCCTCAGGCTCCCAAGTAGCTGGTACCATAGGCACAGGCCACCACATCCAACTAATTTTTTAATTTTTTTTTTTTTTTTTTTTTTTTTTTTGTAGAGACAGGGTCTTTCTATGTTGCTCAGGCTGGTCTCAAACACCTGGGCTCAAGCAATCCTCTCACCTCAGGCTCCCAAAGTGCCTCCAGGCCAGATCCTATATTGATTTTCATCAGTGAAAACCAGGCCCTGAATATTCAAAACTAAAATCAAGAGTGTTTCTATAAATCTTTCTAACAGAACATGTTCAGACTGCCAGACTATTCAATATAAATAAACGGCAAGAACTTTCCATCAGCTGTTCTTTGGAACAAGGTGTCATTCTACTAAAGAACAGCTGCAGTGGCCACTGGCTATTTTCATTGAGCACTTAGGAGGAGTCTACTCTTGAAAGTCAAACACAGGATGAGGTGAACTTCTACAGTATCCAGACCCTGCTAGGTTACTGACTTCCAGTATTGGCTGAAAACTCAATTTTCAGTAGCAGTTTTGGATCAGCTGAAGCTAGAGGCAGTGACAGATGTATAATAAGGCACCCAGGGTTCTTATCCAAATTCAAGCCAAAAGAAAAAGGCCAGGAAGAGGGAAGGAGCCTGTCTGGAATAGTAACCAGCCACATGTTTAAAGCGGAGCTTATGCTGGAATATCACAACTCTTAAGGACTGTTCATTGTGCACCTGTATATGCATACCAGTTTAATAACTACAGCATAAATAAACCACATAGAGGATGCCATGAGACACTTCCTATTTTTCACAATTGAATGAGCCAAATGAATTGCAGAAGTCACCGTTTTTAATGAGGAAACACTGAATTGGCAAAGCTAAAGTGAAATAAGACCTGACTTCAAAATCTAAAATGTCCTTCAAGTGTCACTCTACGTCCAGAGTTTAAGTATGCCAAGCATTAAGAGGTTAACTGATCACCAACCATCCCATGACAAAGTCAGTCCCTCCTGTTTTGTTTTAGAGACAGAATCTCCTGCCACCCAGCATGGAGTACAGTGGTGCGCTTATAGTTCACTGTAAACTGAACTGCCCCAGGGAAGGTGGGACCACAGGCGCCAAGTCAGATCTTGACTTTCAGGCCAGGGTCAAATGCTATAGTGTATGTATCCATTTCAACATTTATTGAGTACCCAAATAAAGTCTGGGAAAAAACAACTTTATTAGTTAAGTCCCTGTTCTACGGCAGTAGGGGAGAAGCAAGGCTGGACCCCCTCAACAAATTAATCTAAACCTATAAAATATTAGGTCATGATCTTTGTTGGGGCGGGGGAGGCAGCATAAGAGATTTAGAGGACATCTTTGCGGTTGCCAAGATCTTTCTGAAGCAGCACAATACAGGGCTTTAGAGTGGGACCAGCCCGGCACCGCGGTGGCTCACGCCTGAATCCCAGCACTTTGGGAGACCTAGACGGGCACATCACTTGAGGTCAGGAGTTCGAGACCAGCCTAGCCATTATGGTGAAACCCCGTTTCTATTAAAAATACTAAAGTTAGAGGGCGTGGTGGCCTGTGCTTGTAGTCCCAGCTGCTTGGGAGACTGAGGTACGGGAATCACTTGAACCCGGGAGGGAGAGGCTGCAGTGAGCCGAAATCACGCCACTGTACTCCAGTCTGGGCTACAGCCTTGTCTCAAAAAAAAAAAAAAAAGTGTGGGACCCAGTGCATCAAGCTGTGCAACTCTGTCTCTTACTAGCTGTATAACCGTGGCAACTTACTGGACCATTCGTGCAAAATGTGAATTTAATAAACACTTAAACACAGCGTGCTAACGGCCAGACACCGTTCTCCCTGAAACTCACAGCAGCCCTGGAAGGCAGGCACTACCTTTAACACCGTCACTTTGCAGAGAACCCGAGGGACAAAGAGCTTAATTCCCCAAAGTCACAGCTATGAAGAGCGGCAGAGCTGTGATTCCAATGCATTAGTGTGCCTCCACTATCCCTACTCCTTAAGATCGTGCAAACGGCTGCGTCACTTGCCCCAAAGAGCCCACAACCGTCCCTGGCAGAGAGAAACTAGCACCGGGAAACGCGTCCGCCGCCCACGATAGCCAGAACCGGCGCGAGCACGGCGCGGCGGCCCGGAGCTCTGGGCACCGAACGCCAGGCTGGAGACTAGGACAGCCGCTCGCACACGGCCACCGGCTCGACTGCAGAGACCTCAAACCGCAGCCCACCAACATCCCTTCCCACTGCCGCAGGAGCACGCCATGCCATTCCGGCCTCACCTCCTCCTCTCTCCATCGCGAGATTTCCAACAGGGTTTTAGGGAAGGAAAAAAAAAAAAAAAAAAAAAAAAAAAAAAAAAAAACGGAAGTGGGTCCTACCATCTCGCAGCCAAAGTGGGAAGAAATGAGGAAATAATGCTTTAAGTCAATGAATTCCTCGTTGGAACCCAACTGTCGAGAAACTCTCATTGGTAAAGTTTTAAGAAATGACAACTTTAATCTTATCTTGACTTGTGTGTCCTAAGATTTCCAGTAAGTGTCTTCAAACCTCCCCCTACGACTTCCTGGCTAATAGAAGTTCCCGAAGGCCGCCGATTCCAGAAGATACTGTTCGGCGTGAAATTAGTCTTAGGTGAGACATAAGTCCCGGGCGTCTTGTACTGCGCGTGCGCAAGCTTTTGAGCCCTCCCGCGAGAGGAAAGTGCGTTTTCGGTTCTGTAGCGGTTTCCGCGGGTTGGGGGAAAGTAAATCCTGCTGCTGCACTATGGCGTCCATGGGGACCCTCGCCTTCGATGAATATGGGCGGCCTTTCCTTATCATCAAGGATCAAGACCGCAAGTCCCGTCTTATGGGCCTTGAGGCCCTCAAGGTAACTGCACGGGGACCCGCTCGCGGTGGGCTGAGGGGAGGCGGCCAAGGCCGAGGCTCCGCGCCTGCGCGAGCTGAGGAGGGGCTCTGCCATGTGCTCCCTGAGAAGGTCGAGAATCTGCATCTCCCGGTGGTCTCCGGCCGAGCACCCCTGCTCCCTGTGCTAGGGAGAGGCCGGCGCCTAAGCCTGGGATCAGAATGTGGGGCCATGCTGGGCCGCCAGCGCCCTTCGGAGCTGGGTGGGGCCCCCTCATCCGATCGTCCGCGGGAGCGACTCGGGACCACCTCCCCGCCTGCCCTCTCCAGCCTGGCGGCAGCACGGAACTACACTCCCATGAGAAGACTCCGGGGAGGTGCTCCGTCGCCTGTCGGTTAAGGCGCTGCTGCTTAACCTTCCGCTGGTCCACCCGCCACGGCCCTTCCGTTTCCTTTGTCACTTGTAAAGGTGTGATCACTTACAGGGTATTTCATTTCTGAGTGCTTTTTTGCCCACCCTTGAGGAAAAATAGCGAAGAGTGAAAAATGGACGCACATCACCGTAATAGAAGGCGGTGTACGGTGGGAAGGACAGGTAGAGAGGGTGCAGATAAGCGTGCTGCTGGAGGACAGCGTTAGATCGGGGGATATGGTGAGAAGTAGCATTCTAGGGAAAGGAAACGGTAGAAGTAAAGGCTTGGGCAGGAAGGCGCATGGCACGTTGTGGGGTGGAAGAGCCATCCAGTTTTAATAGAGCACTGACTACTTTAACTTATAATAGTTCCCAAAGCTGAAAGCTATTGAGTGCCCAGCATGGAAAATACGACGTTTTCCGTTGGGAAGAAGGGGAGCCATTGAGGGGGTTTTGAGCAGAATTTAAGTAGAGCTGCACTTCAGGCAGCAACGCTTGAGGTGAACCGAAGGGAATAAGGAAGATCACAGGTGTTGAAGAAGCCGGGGGTGCAGGTAAGAAAGGAAGAGTCATCTGAGCACCAGGCGTCGACAAAAAAATGGAGAGGAAGGGACAGTCCGAGATGGCCTTTAGGGTTTGATATAAAGTGAATTCTTAAGAGACCATTCCACCAGCTTTCAGGTGTCCCTGTTCACTTAGTGACTTGGGGTTTTACTTACACAAAGTTAAAAATACGGTTCTCCCATGGACTGATTTACTGCAAGTTACACAACCTCTCGGAACCTCGTTTTCCAGTGGAGGTGATAGCCTCCGTCAAGCTGAAGACTTGACACTGATATTAAGTGGAGTGACTTAAGTGGCTGCACAGTGGTTGATCCATGGTAGGTACTCAGTATTTGTTTTCTTTCTAGAAAGAAAAAAGTTCCAAGCTACTTGTATTATATATTCCATTTTATTTATCACTTAGAGGGACCTGCAGAGAAAGTAACATCCGATATAACACACCCAGTATAACAACATAACTAAAGCTATATGTCGTTTTGCATGGGCCATTTTGTTCTAATTGCATGCATTTGTACGCAGAACTGAGATAGGTATTACTTTACCAAATTGGAGACTTGGGCCCAGAGCAGTTGAAAAATTGTTCTGAAGAGCAATTGCTGCTAAAGAGCAGTGCCATGGTTCAAGGCCACCTCTGTCAGAGTCAAAGTGAGCAGTCTAGAGCAGCATTCTCGAGCTTGACGTTATTGACGTTCAGGGTCAGATCATTCCTTGCCCTGGGGGCTCATTTTAGACAGTAACCTGGGTATTTAAATCTAAGAGTTGGATGGTGTGGGTAGGCTTGAGTGTTGAGACTCAATAGTTGAGGGGTATACACTTGCTCCCTGAGCTCACAGAACGTCCAGCTAACTTGAAGAACCAAAATACATGGAAATTGAAGGCAACAGTAAAAGAAATGTACAGGCCAGACTTGAATGTTTTGATGAGTAATGGTCACAGTTTTTTCTCTCTGGTCATTTAGAGCCTTAATATGTATTTTGTTGAGATTCTTCAGTTGTGTAACACTTAACATACAATATTTCACCTTAAAAATGCAGTCATTGCCCAGGTGCATTGGCTCATGCCTGTAGTCCCAGCACTTTGGGAGGCCAAGGCAGGTGGATCACGAGGTCAGGAGTTCAAGACCAGCCTGACCAACATGGTGATGAAGCCCTGTCTCTACTAAAAATACAAAAATTAGCCAGGCGTGTTGGCATGCACCTGTCATCCCAGCTACTTAGGAGGCTAAGGCAGGAGGTGGTTGAACCCAGGAGTCCAGCCTGGGCGACAACAGCGAAATTCCATCTCAAAAAAAAAAAAACAAATGCAGGCATTAGTTGGCTTAGGAAGGAATCATATCCTAAAAATGTATAACCTAAAACAAAGCAAGCTAAGTTTCCAGGCCAGCCAGCATAATTCTGTTTTGTCCATAATATATATTATACCTTGAGGTTTAGGCTCTTCCCTCTGAAAATATACAGAACTAACAGAAGGGGGGAAAAAAAAAAAACGTTTTTTTCACTTTCCTGAGCCGTAGAGCAAAATATATGTCGGGATTTGGGGATCTCTCCTATTTGCCAAATTCCTTCCATCCTTTTCTTTCTGCCTCTTGCTTTCTCATTTAAAAAAAAAAAAAAAAAAAAAAAAAAAAAAGATGATGATGATGATGATAATTCGCCAGGCACTGTGACTCATGGCTGTAATCTCAGCACCTTTGGACGCTGAGGTGGACAGATCACGAGGTCAGGAGTTCGAGACCGACCTGAACAACATGGTGAAACACCAGCTTTACTAAAAATACAAAAATTAACTGGGCATGATGGCGCTTGCTTGTAATCCTAGCTACTCGGGAGGTGGAGGTTGCAGTGAGCCAAGATCGTGCCACTGCACTCCAGCCTGGGTGACAGAGTAAGACTGTCTCAAAAAAATAAAATAAATAATAATTATGTCACTCAATTTGGTAGCTAAATGTGGTTTAAAAAAAAAAAGTAACTTTTTTTTAATTATCACTTTGACAGTTACTTACCTTCCTTAAGAGGGCCAGTTGCTAACTTAGATCTACAGACATTATTATTGGAATTTCAGGTGGGTGGAGGAAGATTTTTTAAAGCAAGGACATTTTTTCTTTTTATTTTGTACTGGGGTCTTGCCATGTTGCCCAGGCTTATCTCAAACTCCTGGCCTCAAGGGATCCTCCTGCCTCAGCCTCCCAAGTAGGTGGATTACAGGCTGTATCCACAGCACCCAGCTTAAAAGATTATAATTCTGTAGTAAATCATAGTGTGACAGTAAGATGTTGTGTGTTTACAATTCGACTCTTCCTCATGGGTACAGTCCCCTCCTTATCTGCAGATGTGGAACCCACAGATATGGAAGCCTAGATTCAAGGGACCTGAGCGTCTGTGAATTTTGGTATCCTCGGGGGCTCCTGCAACCAATTCTCCATGGATACTCAGGGAGAACTATGTTGAAAATGGTCTTGTAAGGTTATGGTCATACTGTTCTGTTCTCAGCTGTAAATGGGCTGGTAAAAGAATGTCTCATTAATGTCTTGAAAATTAAGTGAGATAGCACAAAGCCCTTGGTTCTGTTTCTTTTATGTAAGAATGGCTTATTAAAACTGAAGTTGTAAATGTTATACTTAGAACTGTCTGTTAAATGTAGAAGCCTCTTAAATGTAGAAGCTTCTAGAAAATAGGAACTAAGTCTTAAGTGATCTTTGTAATCATCAGATGTGTGCCTTTAACTGTTGAAATTATATGTAACAATCTTCGCTTTTTCTGTTTCATTAGTCTCATATCATGGCAGCAAAGGCTGTAGCAAATACAATGAGAACGTCACTTGGACCAAATGGTAAGAGTCCACTATTCCGTGTTTTTTAGCAAAAGATTTAAACCATAAAACTGTCAATACAAACCTCTGTACAGAAGGATGGGGTATTGGGGGGAGGCATCTTACCTCCTTAACACAGCCAAAATTTTTTAGTGTATTTCAGGTTTCTTAAACATGGTTAGAGTTGTGTGTGATTTTTTAGGTCAGACCTTTTTTTTAAAAAAAAAAAAAAACACGTAACATTTCATTAGCAATTTCCAAATCATAGTTGTCTCTGAGATCAATACTTTACTTAATGATGCTTCATAATTTTTTGCCATTGATGTTACCCAATCTAAGAATGCCTTTATGCTGCTGTTTTTTTATTTATGTTGAATTGTTTGTTTATAATAAATTGCATAGGTAAGAGCTGGGTCAAAGGTCTTTTTTTATACTTTGTGATATTGGTTGCCAGTTTTTTGCCCAAAACCTATACGCATTGTCTTTTTAGGGCTTGATAAGATGATGGTGGATAAGGATGGTGATGTGACTGTAACTAATGATGGTGCCACCATTTTAAGCATGATGGATGTCGATCATCAGATTGCCAAGCTGATGGTGGAACTGTCCAAGTCTCAGGATGATGAAATTGGAGATGGAACCACAGGAGTGGTTGGTAAGAAAAGACAAACATCTTTTCCTTTCTCA